GCGTAGAAATATTAATAAAATTATCTGACGTGTATAAACACTGGGAAAAATTAAAGTAGGTATTGGGTTGTCAGATAAATTCGATCGGCTTTTTTTTTCCAATTTTCTTTGAATTAAAATATATTTGCCGCACAGTTTCATGGTTTTTGGTAGCTCTTCCTGCAGAAATTTTATTAAAAAAAAACGAATTAATTTATCTGACAACCAAAGCATCAAGCACTTTGTTTATTATATTACGTTTGAAGATTTCTTGCAACATCTTAAACACACACACACACACACACACACACACACACACATATACATATATATATATATATATATATATATATATATATATATATATAAACAATATATATATATATATATATATATATATATTATATAATTATTTAAAAATATGATTCCAACTGCGACATAAGAGCCGAAAACTTCAATATAAGTTTTTCGGCTCTTGTTTTGAAACATGAGACCTCTTATGTCGCGAGTTGAATCATATTTTTTAAATAAATAATTATATTTATGCTCTACTTTTGTATCGAGCACTATTTTTTAAAATAATAACTAAAATACTAAGGAACTTTGGATTATTTACCTTTATCAGTTCCTTCCTATTTTCTATATTTTCATATATATATATATATATATATATATATATATATATATATATATATATTATTATGGCTTCAGTAACTTTCCCAATTCTAACTTTTCTAAAAATACTTTCATGGTAATTGTTCGGATGAGCGCTTCGCTATGGTGCCGAGAATTTATGAATTTAAGCATAGTATTAAATTGGTGGCATGGTCTCGTCAATTCACGATCAAATTGGCTAGATGTAATCATAAGTTCGATGCCAACAGTTTCTTTTCTCGCAACTCGTTTAAGGAGCTCTCTTCCAGCTCCATGCTTTCCAGCCAACTTTGAGCTTCAAAAATTTAAATTCAATGTCAATTGTTATCTACTGTCTTCCTGATTACTCTTCTTTTGTTCTCGTTCCTTAGTAATGTTTCTCTTTGCTTTTTATTCTTTAACACCCCGTAACCAATTACGTTTTAGTGGATTTTCTGCCTTGCGTCGGGTGATATGATAATAAATGGTAGTGAACTCTCTCGTCGTATTCGATGTATGAGGGTTAAGCATCTCACTTCCTTGGAACCGATAGCCAGACACCAGCACATATGATTTGATTATAATGGTAAAGGCTTTGTGCAGAACCAACCACATTTTGTCAAGGGCCGAATACACAAATAGCCCTCGGCAGGTTTAAAATCCAGAATTGTCCTTCTCTTAGACTAGTTGTCATCCAAGGCTATAGAACCCAGTCTGTGCTGCTATTTACCCATAGCTGGAGGGAGAAGATTATTAATACCTTTCCCAAGAGTATTATCACGTAAATGAATGTTAATGGATTCGACTGGAATTCGAACTCTGGTCTCTGATTCCTCAATCCGAGCATCTATCCACTACTCCACTGTGCCTCCAAATGAAGAGAAAGAACAGATTTAGAATCCACGGTTCTTTAGCATTTACTTTAAAAAAGCAAGCGCCTAATGCAACGTAGAGCATAATATATATATATATATATATATATATATATATATATATAATGGACTCTACCGTCGGTTTCGAGGTATGAGGATCTTGTCAGCTTATTGATTCAGTTATGAAAGTTTGTGATAATCTTAAGTGGCATTCAAGACCCGCTAGTGATTTATAAAAGGAGGTCACATATGGAGCAAGTGTGAGGATTGTGAGATGAGATCACTGTTAGATTAGCTGACCTTTTTAGATCTTTGCTCGCTTTTGAAGATAATTCAGACAAGCAGATTGAAAATTGCTGAGTCTGCTAAAACACGTTGATCTCCATTCTACCTGCTCCAAGACTAAGCGCTCAAGGGTGTTATGTGGTATATTGACTGCTGACAAGTTGCTTTTCAGCTTGTCTTTGTATCTTAGCCATGGGCGTCCTACATTCCTGTAGCCCTGATCTAACTGGCTGTACATTAGGATCTTGAGTATCCTGTCATCAGACATTCTCAAGGCATGACCAGTCCACCGTAACTGAGACTGTGTGATAAAAGTCTCGATTCCTCCAATATTACACTTGTTAAACAGATCTACGTTAGATGTCCTATCTTGAAGCTTAACTCGACAGATTGCACGCAGACAGCTTTTATGGAAAACATCTAGCTGGCGTATATGGTACCTGTATGGAGTCCACGACTCTGAGCCATACAAAAGAATGGCAAGTACAACAGCTCTGTAAACTTGAATTTTCGTATCCAGTCGAATACCCCGCTCATTCCACAAGCGATGGCGAAGTTTGCCGAAAGCACTGGTAGCCTTAACAATCCGATGCAAGATTTCATCACTGTAATTGACTTTGCTACCAAGATAGGTGAAAGACTTTACATAGTTCAGAGGTTTGTCTTCTACTTTCAATGGTCTCTCTGGAAATTTGTAGACTGGTAGTTTATACATATATATATATATATATATATATATATATATATATATATATATATATATTGTGTGTGTGTTTGTGTGTGTTCTCTTATATTTAGTGGACACAGGTGTTTCAGTAAATGTCCTTGTTTTTAAAGAGAGAGATTGACACATATCCCGTCCAAAGTAATAAGAAATGTGTGATTTTAAAAAATCATTTCATTGCATATTGATATCAGGAATATCGCCACTAACGGAATTTGCTGGTAGCGGAACGCCTAACGATTCTAAAAATGAAATCGGCAGGGAGAGTTCAAATTTTAGCCTATTTTGAGTATGCCCGATTCTCTTTCGCACTAACGACCTTGGGAAAGGTATGAATCTCTCTCTCCTCTCCCCCCACCCCGAGAAAATATTAATTAAATAGCAGTATAAGAGAAGGTCAATTTTGTACTCATGGAGAAGGCAACGGGAAACGACTTTTAAGTGACAAAATAATGGTTAAACAGGCAAAGATATTCATGCGGGTGCTGAAAAGTTCCTGGTCGAATCCATTGACCCAAATCTGAGCAAAGACAGTTATCAGTTATCTCCTGTTAATTCCCCTCTCCAAGTTCTCCACCGCCTTAACCAACTCACACTCTTTGGGTCCTGTCACTGGATCTAACTAACGCCTTTATCCACTGTGCCATGTTTCCTTGGGGACATCTGTGTATGAATTTCGGGGTATTATAAACCTAATGTCTTCAGCAAACTTTTTTTTTTACCAATGCTCATATTGCAATTTTTGCTGTTATCATCATTTTACCAGAGCTCATATATAGACAGATACTTCTTGTATTGCGTTCTCTTTTTTATGAAGGACACATGGCACATTGGATAAAGGCATTAGTTAGATCCAGTGACAGGACCCAAAGAGTATGAGTTCAATACCTAGTCAAGGCGGTGGAGAACTTGGAGAGGGAAATTAACAGGAGATAACTGACATCCATCAGACATGGCACCTGGAAGTAGAACAGTCTACCCCAGTGAGCTAAATAAAGGGTTCAGTTCGACATTCAACCACCTGAAGAAGGCCGGAGCGTACAACGACCGAAACTTTGTGATAAACATGGCGACAAAGATGAGAACAATAGTTCGAATAATGTAAATAATATTTGTTAATGTTTTCAGTGATCTTTATTTAGCTTTTCAAAAAATTGTTTTTTTAATTATGTAGTCAATCTCGAGTTCCCTAACAAAAGCGGTTGCTGTAACCTTTTGCCCACGTCAAATATTTAACGATTTTCAACACAAACGGACAAAATGAAGTTGAAACCTATCGGAAATTAATCAGGTGCTGTCAACAAATCATTTTGAGGGCTTCTTAATTCTCTTTTGATGACTTCTCATGAAATATTTTCCCTCCAGACAGAAATCAAATCTGACAATCCCTGAATTCATTAAAAGGATCTATTTATGTTTGCTGTGTGTATTGTATAAATCTAGTTCAGCCTCAATATATAATTTCATCCAAGGAATGTATTTATGATCAAGCTAACGTCTTCATTTGAAATATGCAGACATGATGTCAATATTGAAATTCAATCTGTAAAATAACAACAAAAGATGACAAGATTCCTTATCTGATTCCTTAAGGTAAACATTTCACCATTTAAAAAAAAAATTTAAAAAAAAACATTTACTATTTATATTAATTACATTCAGACTCAGCTGTGCTGTTATTATCACAACGTTTCAGCTGCCGTGCTTTTCAGTCTTCTTCAGGTGTCTGTTGTTCTAGATAAACTCCAAGGAATTTCGAATTAAATCTTTCATTTTTCTACAGGGGAAGATTGTTAACGTTTTGTTGTCCATATATAGGGATATCTTTTCAATCTCGTTTTACTACTGCCCGGTTATTGCACTCCGTTTCCACTAAGTCTGTATATTTTATATCACGTCGGGGTCACCAAAATGCTGTAGAGGTTCACTCACATCATAGCAGTAGAAATTAGACTCGGAGATAATGGCATACTTGACAGGAAATAAAACGAACACAAATAACAGGGAACGTATGGTAAATTGTATATTAATTTTATAAATTTATTTATATTTTTTTTTTTGTGTGTGTGTATTAGTGCATGTATTATTTAGGTTACAATTGTTTTATGATACATGTGATAAAAGGGAGAATTTACTCCGTAGTATTAGAAGCTATATCACAGAGAGAAGTTGGACACGTGTTGCCCGTACCAAGGTCCGTGGCGAAGAGATTGAATTTAACTTTTTTTTTTTCCAGGATGTCCGTATTTCCGGCAAGCACATTTTTTTTGAATGCTGGGTGCATTATTTTTATTATTTTTATTTTTATTTAATTTATTTTAAAAAGAGTTTAATTAGTATTATTTTATTTTATGTATAATTTTCATTTTCATTTTCATTATTATTATTATTTTATATTTTACTTTTATTTATTTATAATAATAATGATATCCCTACAAGTCTGAGTCTAGACTACTTGACCCAAGGATTGAACTCACAATTACTATGCCACTGAATTCTCTCAAGGCTTACGGCCACAACACATTGAAACACCGGTTCCCGTGCGATAACTGAAGTTAAGCAACGTCGAGGCAGGTTAGTACCTAGATGGGTGACAGCTTAAGAATACCAGGTGTTGTAAGATTAAATGTGCGGGTGGTGTAATGGATAATGGATGAGAATTGTTAATCAGAGAGCTGAGTTCGAATTCCCGTTGGGTTCGTTATATTCACTTACGCGCAAATACCCTTGGGAAAGGTATGAATCGACCCCTTCTCCCCCAGCTGTGGGTTAAATAGCAAGATTTATATTACTAAACCATTATTATGTCAAAAAAATTCTTACAATCTAAAAATCATTTCTGGTTTTAAATAACCTGCAAAAGGTTGATAGGCCGTAAAAACAAATTAACCCTTAAAAAACTAAATTATCGGACCAGAGCTTTAACTCACTAGACCCGTGGTTTTCAACCAGGGTTCCGTAGAACCCTAGCCTTCCGCCAGTGAAGTCCAGGGGTTCCGCAAGAAGTTACACAAGTCACACATGATTGACAGTAATTTTTAGTTCTCCTGTGCAGATATATGTGTTTAGGTACCTTCACTAAATCAATAACAAAACAGCATAGTATGAATAAAAAAAGGTCCCAAACTTAAAATAAATGTAATCCATTTAAACTGAAATTTTTTAATACATGTGTTAATAACCGCAGAAGCAAGATTAAAATTGCATATGGACGTCTACAATATTTTTACAGTTTGTATTTTTTTGTAAATAAATCTGAAGATGTGTATTTTTATTTTATTTTAATAATTGAAAACTTTTTTTTTTTTTTGGCATAAGACAATTAATTTATTGCAGGAGTTCCTCGAGTCACTGGAATGTTTCCTTGTGGTTCCGCTCCAGCAAAAAGGTTGAAAACCACAGCACTAGACTATTGTAACACGAAACAACAGCCAAGTAAATTAGTACAGACTCTCACTCGGTGGAAAGAGAGCGAACAAAAACTGAGCAGTACTAAAACAAACAAAAAAAGTAACTGTGAGTTCAATCCCTGGACCAGGTTGTAGAGACTCCCACTCAATGGAAACAGGATGAGCAAAAACTGATTAGTACTGTAAAACGAAAAAGAGAAGATATCCCTAAATATTGACAGTGGAATGAAAACAAGGTACGACTGTAGATTAAATAAAGGGCTTTGAAAGGTTTAGTTCGAAATTACCAGGAGGTGATCCGGATTGACAGAAACTTGAAGAAAACCAGAGAGCGCAATGGATCGCTCAGGAATACCAAATGCTGTAAGCTTGGATGTGCGGGTGGTGTAATGGATAAAGATTAGAATTGTTAATCGGAGATCCGAGTTCCAATTCCAGTTAGGTTCGTCATATTCAATTACACGCAAATATCCATGTGAAAGGTATGAATCCACCTCTTTTCTCCCCAGCTATGGGTTAATTAGTAAAACTTACATCACTAAACCATTATCTCAAAAAAATTCTTACTAATAATCTAAAATTATTTTCAGTCATTAACTTAAGGATTATGACTGATCTGATAATTTTAAATAACAACACTGTGAAATTTTCCCGGCTACTTCTTTTCTTTCTTTTTATTTGCCGTGTCCTTTCAGGGCGTGGGCGATCACGGCTCTCCACCTCTCTCTATCCCTTGCAGTTCTCAACAAGTTCCTTCCTTCTGCTACCTCCCCCAGACCATGTTCTGTCAACCACTTGCACTTGCCAGGTATGTCAGGCGCTGTTTTCCCTTGTCTCTCTTTCCCTCTATTCGACTCGTGAGTATCAGATTCCCTAAGCCTTCCTTCCTCATTATGTGTCCCAGGAATTTCAGCTGCCTCTTCCTGATGTTAAGTATAAACCTCCTCCTTGTTTTCATTCTCTCCAAGACCTCATCGTTGCTCACACGCTCGGTCCATGATATCCTCAGCATCCTTCTGTAGAACTACACCTCCGTCGCCTCGAGTCTCTTCTTTATCTTTGAGGAGACCATCCAACATTCGCTGCCGTAAAGGGGGACAGATGTCACGTAACAGCTCAGTACTCTTTTTATGTTACCAAAGAAGTCCCGGTTACTATGAGTCTAGAATAATCAAGATACAAACAACAATTCGAATAAATCAAAATAAATAAATCAAAAGAAACAAATATATAAATAAATTAAATCAAAAATAAATCAAAATAAAATCAAAACAAATAAATAAAATAAATAAATATATAAAAAATAAATAAATTAATAAATTAAATAAATAAATCAAAATAAATAAATTAATTGAATAAATAAATCAAAATAAATAACTCAAAACAAATAAATCAAAATAAGTAAATATATACATAAATTAGATAAATAAATCAAAATAAATAAATAAATCAAACAAAATAAATAAATCAAAATAAATAAATATATACATAAATTAAATAAATAAATCAAAATAAATAAGTAAATAAAATAAATAAATAAAATAAATAAATCAATCAAAATAAACAAATAAAAAAAATAAATAAATTAAATAAATAAATCAAAAGAAATAAATCAAAATAAATAAATAAAATAAAGAAATAAATCAAAAGAAATAAATCAAAAAAAAATAAATATATAAATAAATTAAATACATAAATAAATGAAATGAATAGATCAAAATAAATAAGTTAATTAAATAAATAAATAAAAATAAAAGAATAAAAATAAATAAATAAATAAAATAAATAAATAAATAAATCTAAATAAATAAATAAAAATAAATAAATATATAAATAAATTAAATAAATAAAAAAAATAAATAAATGAAAAGAAATAAATAAATCGAAATAAATCAAGACAAATAAATAAATAAAATACATAAAAATAAATAAATAATAATAAATAAATAAATAAATAAAAATAAAATTCGAATAAATCAAAACTTAAAAGCTGTTTCTATTTTGACACTTACCCACGATATTTTCTAGTGTCTTCTATGTTATTATTCTATTTTTAAGTAAAAAGCTGTCAAATATTTTTATAAATAATTTCAAATGTACTGCAATATGTTAGATATCTTATTTTAGTTTTGGTTTTAATTGCAAGAAAATAACATCAATCATAAAACTAATTACTTTTGCGGTCATAAAACAAATTTTAAACTGCTTTTTATTTAATATTTTATCATATAATTTTTTGTCATATTAATTTCTTCGACTACCGATTAGAATTGTTAATTGCAGAGCTAAGTTCTAATTCCAATTAGGTTCGTTATATTCAATTACACGCCTGGGCAAAATCTTCCACTTAAGAATTTTATCATTAAATCCTCCTTATCAGCCCTGCCCAAAATTCTTGCAATCTAAAAACTATTTTCTGACTTCTGCAAATGGTTAGTAAGCCGTAGGAGATAAATGATTCAATCAAGTAGAGCACAACAGATAAAATGTGATAATAACGATAAAAACAAGGATATTAATCTAAATTTAAAGAATAACTCCAGATCTCGGAAAATCAGAAAACATTTACTACTCCCAAATTTCACTTTTTTTTCATGTTATATCTCTTCAGGATGGAGGGGATCATGGCTCCCATCTCAGTATTTTTTCTTTATTGTCTATGAATTAACATAACTTTATAGATTTAACATACTGTGATGAAGTCTTTTTGGTAGTTTTACTAACCATATTTGCATATAAAAATGAGTTAATTTTTTAAAGTTTTTACACTATATAAAACAAAGAAAAAAAACCAAGAAATTAGCTGGTCAATATATATATATATATATATATATATATATATATATGTCTGATGAATTGGATCGTGATTACGTTTCAAATATAATAAATTATAACCATGAAATATTAGTCTTTGAGCCTTAAGTATATATATATATATATATATATATATATATATATATATAAGAGATAGAACAGCTGGACTAAGAATCCACAGTTTATAGCATTTACTTTTTTTTAAAAGGTGTACAATACAAAGTAGAGCAAAATATTATTATATTTTTATTATAATAGATTACAATAAAGACATTTTACATCGCTACACAAAAAGTTTCATGTTTCAGAACTCTAATAGTCCTTTCTTAGGTGATAGTAGATAACTTACAAGTTTTTATGTAGTGATGTAAAATGTCTATTGTAATCTATTATAATGAAAATATTATATATATTCATATATATATATATATATATATATATATTTAAAAGATTTTCCAAGCAAAGCTGTTGAGTAGTCCTTTCCCTAGACTGCTTACTACTCAAGGCCGGAAAGACAACGTTGCTATTTAAGCCACAGCAGAGAGAGAAAAAACGATAGATTCATGCCTTTCCCAAAGGTATTACTGTGAAAGTGAACGCGTCAGAAAAGGCCGAAATTTGAACCCAGCCCTCCGATTCTTCTTCTTCTTCTTTGTGTCTTGTCTCTTCAGGACGTGGGCGATTATGACTCTCCCCAATTTCCTGTCTTTTATAACTCTTAGTAAATTTTGCCATTTCGCTATTTCTGCTAAACCCTGTTCTGTCAACCATTTACACGAGTCCATTTGGTAGGTTGAGCGCTGCTTTCCTCCACCCCTCTTGACTTCTTGTGAGTGTCAAATTTCCCAAGCCCTCTTTAATCATTATATGCCCTAGAAATTTAAACTGTCTCTTTCTGATGTTAAATATAAGTGGCTTTTTTGTTTCTATTATTACTATACAAATAAAATATTCTGAATATATCACGAGCACTACTGATCTATTTTCCCACGCCACTGTCATTAAGATTGATGTCCTTGTCACATTGGTTCACTAATGCATATATATGCTCGTCGAAAAAAATACTGCGGCCAGCCTTACAGCACTGCAATACCATCTGTGTGTAACTGCTTCCATTCTATAAAAATGTAAGTTCCACACAGCTTCTTACCCAGATTTGTTAATTTGTGGAAGCAACTCCCGAGAGAATACTTTCCCGACAACTTGTTATATACCGTACCTATAAACACTAACAGGTATGTTCCAATCCTCATAAATACGTTGGACACTATTGTAAGCGAGGGTAATATGCTGTCTAAGTAGTTTATCACTGGCAGTGGTTTACCTATTTGACACCGCTGGCGAGTATTGTATTTTGTTGATGTTATACTGATTACCATTTCATTTCCAACATTTG